AACTTTAACTACAACTTTGTACTTCTGTACCAGATGATTTTAGTTAACGTATAAAGATATTGGCACATAAAGATGCTTCAATTGATATTAAAATCTCTAAAAAAATATTATATTTTTTACTTTTACGTCACAAGTATGCCGAATATGCCTTAACTTTATGCGAACTGTAACAAAAACCATCTGATATTGATGTATAACACGATAAACGTCACCTTATAATATGACGCTCGTGGTACCTAGATACCCAGTAATTTCACTGCCATACTCAACCTTAGAAGGTTTATCTATGATGCGATCTCTTTTTAGGAGTCTTTTTATAGGAGTTTGGATAGAGGGTAATAATTTTGTTCTAAATACGACTTTGGATATGAGTGGTACGAATTAAACGCACAGACATAACAACGTACTAATCCGTTGATGCAGAAAATTTAGTTTCATTTAAACTACACAACATTTTATATATTTTTATTCTGTTAACATCAATCAAAATTATCTTGAAAATGTAATTAATATTTTCAAGATCAAAACTCATTTAACTAACATTTACTAATACAAGTTTATATTTATAAGTTTTATAGTTTGAAGTCAGTAATGTATATATATATATATAATATATGTTTTTCTGTAGTTACAATACATAAACGCCTCAACGGCACAAATAGTTCTAGAAATTACATAATATATAATTGGCTATGGTGTAATCATTACTATATTTAATAACCGTATTAATTTAAAACGTTTCAACTGCTCTACTTTTAACTGTAACAATGAACACTAAATATAACTTTAACATGAAAATCTAGATTGAACAATATCTGTATTAGCAAAGTAGTGAAGAAGAATCTTATGCAAATAATCTGTCATTTAAGTTATAATTCTGCTTTGAACTGTTCTCTATTATGAAACTAAGAAATTCAAGTTAACAAAGCATTATATAATATATAGCTGATATAAGCATATTAATAAATATTGTCAACATTGACTTCTGTGGTTTATCTAACATCATTCTTTTATTAACCATCGATTCACAAATTCCATGAAATTATTCACAATATTATATTAACTAAAAGCTGATAAAAACAGTTACAGCTTATATTTGACTGTAAATTTTTACTTGGCACTTTACACATCCTCTTATACGACTTTTAGTCATAGATTATTTTCTATTCTTTCCTTAATCCTTTCTCTGAGTATAAACACATTTCAGTTAACATTCATTCATTTAAATTATTAGTAACAACATTTTTTTACATTCAAACAATAATCATTTTTTAAAACATATCAAAAACACGCACTTAACTTTAAGGTATTTCTAAAATAACTGTAAACGTTCCAAAGGAATATAATAGGTATGTATTTAAACTAAAACTTAAAGTATACTTATCAGGTATTATTATCATCAATTGTATATATTAGATAACTCATTATCATAAAGTATAATTATACATATAAATCTTTTTTATACATGGCAATATGGTATCTCAAACTTAATTTTCTTTTCAGCAGATGGTTCTGAAATATTTCCGTGTGCTTTTTGCAGGTCTAGAACTTCGAATATGAACCAAAACATTCTGATTACCAGTTTATATCGAAATCGTCAGGTATCAGGAAGGTTAACAGTATTTTAGCAAGTAACGGCTTGTGATTGATGTTGCTTTTAATGTAACTTGTAATATAAGCTAACAGGTCAGTGGTATTCATGGCCTATATGTGAACAGTACCACGTATATCTTTATATGATAGCCATGGTTCCCTACATATCTTGCCATAAAGGAGAACTAAGACTTCCTATTCCTAATAATAAATTAAAATAGAACATAAATTTTCGATCCATAATCTATAAGTTTTTATTTTTACTAATGGTAACTGCCGTGAACTGACACTCGTAGGTGGTCGTCAAAATAGCCATCTTCTCTTGTGTGCTATAAAAGTGAATGCATCATTCTAATTATGTACTGTGATAATATGCCAATGAATCTCATCTGACAATTAAATATCTAATAATAAATTATCTTAGTTACCTAATTTGATTTTACTCCCACAAAATATTTTTAATTATGCTAAATTTATTTAAATGTGATTTAGAATTTGGTTTCGCACTTGAAGTTTGCAGGCCATACGCGTTGTTGTGTTCGTAATATTATACTTAATTTTCGTTCTGAATAAATTCGTAGGAGGCATTATCAGATTTTATGGTCTAATGCCGCAACCGTCATCATTGGTCACCGAATCATAGAGTAAAAATTCAAGTCTATTCAATAGTAACGCGTATCGCCCGCGCCCCCGAACGCTAATCTACGCTACTCCTTACTCCCTAGGTGCAATATAATGCGAATTCACATGTTACATAACTATCTCCCCTTCACAATGTACATTTATTAATTCTTAGTTATTTTTCTCTGAAGTGAGTCTAATAATTAATATTATATAAATTATACTTAGCAATTTGGCTGTTTGTTTACAACTAATCGTAAGGGATTTTTTTTTATCTAAATTACAAACTTAAGATTTTCTAATACAACAAATTATGGTTTATTTCTCTTTATAGAATCACGTGTCAAATATAATTGTTAATAAAAATTGGTAAACATGTATGAAATGATAATAAAATTTCAGTGATAAATATTTACTTTACTTCCGCTTTATGCGCCTACGTTCCATGTACAAGAATATTTAAACCGACGAAATAAGGAATCGAAATTATGTTGACTCAGTCTTTATAATTTTTTTGCTTCCAAATAATTATAAACTAATGTATTAATTTATACAAATTAAAAAAAAAATGTGATAACCATATCGAAATTATAAGAAATATACCTAACACTCCCAGATATAAAATCCAAAATATACAAAATAAACGGTAAATAATAATAATAATTTTAAAATGTACCTACCTATTCTATTTGTTACAATTCCTAAAGACAACTCTTTTAATTCCCACCGCTTAATAATTAAACATTTCAAATAACATTGAGCAAATTCAGAAAAAAGAAAAAAAAATCAAAGTATTATATAGTATACGTAACTTCGAAATTATTATCATTTATACAATTATATTAAAATTAAAATATGCGTGTGAAAAATATGATATGTGGGATGAAATTACCAAATATTTACATAATATAATATTTATCAACTATTAATCAAATATAAAATAAAGTTTATAACAGTAAATATAACTTTATCAATTACAAAGTTAATTAATTAACATTTTGGACAAAATATCGCGTAATCCAATTAAAGAAAACATTCATCCAATTGCAACATGTTTAAAATACTTTTAAAGGAATTATTAGTTGACTGTGTCATTTCGATTTAAGTTTTAATATAAATAATATAAAGTTCACTTCGGAAATTATAGAGAACGCACCATTATTACACCTCATCCTTACTCTATTTTACATATCCCCAAAGTCACAGCATATTATCTAGCACATACCATCCATCGTCAACTATCGTATTCTTTATTATTCATTGCACTTAATAATACAATATTAAATTTAGATATATATGTATTGTTGACCTTCTTCTATGTACCGTTCATTTATTTATATATTACAATTATTATTACAAAACCGATATAATTCTCAATTGTTATCATCAATTTCATGGAATCGACATACACCATCCTTCTATATAGAGTTATGGAGACGCAGTATTGATATATATATATACATACATATATGTTAAACTACGTAGAAAAAGTGTCCTGTGCACTAGAATTAATATTGAAGTGTTTTAATACCTGTGGTAACTTGTCAAATTGAACTTTATAATTTTATTTTTTAAGACTAGAGTAATCGTATATATGTATATAGTATATATATATGTTAAATATATATGTCAATATTTACAATTTATCTTATATTTATACCTGTGATAGACACACATACACATTCAAGTCCTCTCTATAGTCCATCAAAATAGCCACTTTCATCAATGTTTCTTTACAATCCTGTGTATATATATATACTGGCGGAAGGAAGTACATAGATTTATATTAGTTTTATAGAAGATTCTGAACATCAATGTAACAAGGAGGTACTACTCACTTGGGAACATCTATGTCTACTGAAACATTTATTACACATAAAATTCATAAATGCATTGTCATATCCATCTACCTATTATAAATATTAATTATCATTCGGCCAAGTTGCCTTACATCAGGTTCTATGAAACATGGATTATATTGGTTTTCACTTAATACATATTAACAATGATATTCCTAATTATTAGAAGACATTTAATGATTTTAACGCCACTGAGTATTAAAAAAAACACCCTTAAGTTTTATATAATTCGTATCAGATCATTGTATATACTTTAACCTTTTTATTGGGTAGTTTCAAATGTATTTATATAATATACTCAGTTATAATACTCTCCTGGTTGACTAGAAAATTATAGTGATATATATATGATTTCATATATATTTCTAAACCCGTCTCTCTTGATAAAATATAAAGTTAAAATATGAAAAAAAAAATTCCGCCAATTACTGAAAAATATTATATATATGTTGTTGGAATATTTTTTGTCGGTTTAGAATTGAAAGCTTATCCTTCATTATTCAGGATAAATATATACCAAATATTAACTTTACCTACAATAATTCGATAATGTTTATATTTTACCAAGTTCTATTGAACATACTTTAACACTACATTGAAATATACACCTAAATCAGACAAATTACTATGCAAAACGCATAGTAATAAAATATTATTAATACCATCTCTAACAATATCAAGAATGTTGATTGACATACATTTTCAATTAGACAGTGTTTTTTTAGAATACAGATCGGTGAAGAGTATCTTCCCGTTTACAGAAATTTCATTCGGTGCGGCAAGATCACAAAGTGCTAATAACAGCACTGTTTCAAATTTATGGAGGGTTCCAATGGGCCCTCGAAACAATTCAGAATTAGTACGTGCCAATATCGTCGTATGTGTTAGCGTGTTAGCGTCATCCATATCGTGTTAGCGTCTGATCAAATTTATTCCTCGCCAAGTAGTACCAAATCATCAGCAACCACGTCAGAAACATGCAGGTAAATGATCCAGTACATGAGATTAAAGCAGACGAAGCAGACGGGAAACACGATGCGAGAGTACTTGTCGATGTCCGATGGTGTGGTCCCCATAAGTTTGTTCATTCCCTGCAAATATTGTTTAGCTTGACTTTGATGATTAAACGTAGTTTAATCTTTGATATCTAAAATTCGTTCAAGTACAGATAAATAATAATTAATGAATTCGCTTTTGCAAATACAGATAGAGAACACTCGCTAATGATCACGAATATTAAATTCGCAACATTATAATTGTGATATCAAAATATTATTAACTGTACTTTTATAGTCTTATTCTATATACCTTTGGAGTTTGCATCATATGGGCGGGTGTGCCAGCTTCCTCATCAATTGGTGGGCCAGGAACAGGTGGTGGAGCAATAGCAGCTCGAGATCCATTAATAGTATTTTCCAACGTGGCGCCTTTAGAATAAGCTTTGGAATCGTGAGCCTTGAATCGAATTTCCTGTGTAATTTATTCAACAAAATTACTTAAAATAAATTATAATAATAATAACAATATATCTTGATATCTCAGCTTCTGCCTAGGTTTGGCAATGTCAGTTGTGAGCCGAGTAGTGAAAGCAACAACTCGACGTATCCAATATTCGTTAACGTAGACGTTGTGATACGGGTCGAGGTCATTGCCGGTGAGGACAGTGTCGTGTCGTGTAAGAATGATAGAGAGGAAGGGATGAAGCGGTATGATCCGTCAAAAAGTTTTCTATCATTATAAGACCAATCGAGGTAATCAAGCCTTTGATAGTGTTCCCCAAACAACGTTTGCCAATAATGGGAGTGTTTAGGTAGATTGGACGGAATTAAAGTGGGGGTCGAGACTTTTCCATCGTAAAGTGTTGAATTGTGGGTAGTTCAATGTCCCGATGGAGATCCGCATAGCGAATGAACTATGGTGCGCCAACTTGACGCAATAACTTCTATTATAGCGTTTTTAGTATTTGAAAGTAAGATGTTGCTATATTTCTTTAGAAAATCTTAACATTTCTAAAGAACATTTCATTTTTTTAATATATTTTAACTCAATAGAACGTGCTAAGTATGACAATGGTTATTTGTAGCCGGTTGAATATTAGCATTTAAATATGGAAGAATGCGGATGTGAATAAAGACGTGTCATCAGGCATAAATGATATTTCAACTGTAAAGTCGGAAAATAGGGTAATGTTGTTAGTATACAGCAAGTGGAGGTGAGAGAACGGTACGGTAAGGAAGGGTTCATATCTAGTGGGGGTCTAGTGAAGTTATACGGTGGCGTTAGGAATGGCTGAATAGGAAGTCGTGTATTTAGTACTAGTCTAATCCTAATGGTATAGTCCTAATGGTATAGTCCTATACTAATAATAATAAATTCAAATTCAAATTCAAATTCAAAAATCATTTATTCATGTAGGACATTTTAGCCGCTTATGAACGTAAAATTTTTACATTATAATTTTATTTTTTCCCTACCGTCCAGTTCGGTATATAGATCCAATTGAGAAGAACTGTCAAGAAACTCAATTGAATTACCTTTTTTTTTAAAGCCAGTTTATTTACAATGTATTTTTATATAGGTGTCTATGTCTAACATTAAATGAAAATTCAGTGCATGAACAACTATTGCCATGCACACTCGTCATTCAAGTAATCGTTTAGTGAGTAATAGGCTTTGCTCAGTAAATATGATTTAACAGATGTTTTGAATTTATTTAAGGGCAATTCCAACATATCCTTTGGTATCTTATTGTAAATTTTTATACCTATTCCCATAAAAGACCGTATTAAATAATATGGACATGTAATGCGTAGGAACGAGGATAATATTTTAAGAAAGGTGTTACATATGAATGTGGATGGTTATAAGGGCAGAGGAAGGCCGAAAAAGAGATGGATGGACTGTGTGAAAGATGATATTGTAAGAAAGGAAGTAAATAACGCGATGACTGCGAACAGGGATGAATGAAAGCGAAAAACATATTACGCCGACTCCAAATGAATGGGATAAGGAAGAAGCAGATGATGGTATATACTAATAATAATATGTAGTATTTTTTTCTGTTTTATTGTATATCAGTATAAACCAATATCTAACACTTTACAGACAGTTTAAAAAATTAATACTTTTTAAAATTTCATCCTAAAGGCTCCAGGTGTTTTTACTTTATACTGATAAACCGAGTTTATACTTAATCAGTGTTTTAAAATATTGTTACATATTATTAATTTATATTCTCACCGTGGAGCGGCTAGGCGGCATTGGTCTGGATAGAGTGCTAGTCCTTGGAGGAGGCATTGGTTCAGAAGGTCCAGGCATTATTTCTCCAGGTTTCTTGTCACCGATTTTGTGAACAGCAGTGAATCTTTGCTTCCTCATCTGTATACGTTTTGCCATGTATCCAACAGTCGCATATTCTGCAATAGATTATTATTATTAACTTCCAATTAATTTAAATATAACATCGCCAGCAACATTAAACGTTAAATCAGAATATATCGCGTAAACTGCTAAGTGTATTATTTAAATCATATAATTATAACAGATATTCTCATTTCATTAATATACATGAGAATATATATTATATTTATTTTCATTCTCATTATCATAAATTTGGTTTTTACGTTGTAAAATATATATACAATTAAAATTATTTTTTATTAAACAGTAATAGTGATGACTTTGCGTAATGTTCTTGAATTACAATTTTAATAAAATGTCAGAATCTTTTATATCCATTAATACCTGCCTATTATTGGGTTATGCGTCGCTTTGTTAATATTGCACTGTTATTTATTTTACATATATTATCAATAAACTAGTGGTCATCCAGTAATCATAATTCAACCACAATTAACTTATATTCAGATATTATTAAGTTTCTATTGTCAAGGACTTGCTTCACGTATTTTATTATATAGATTGCTTTTATAACAACACAGAAATCTGTATTGATTAGTTAATTTGGCAATTATTATTGACATTAATGTTTTGTTACGTATAGTATAATGGTAGCGTGTGATTTTTTTTAAATTATGTTTATTATGTTTATTATATTATATTTATGCGTAATTAACAAAAATATTAGTATTCTCGTTCTACATACTAATTATTAGTACGAAAAATTTCGTACTCCCTCCGCGCATTTTCTCAAAACGGCGTACAACGTTCTCGCTACTCGTATTAATATATAGATGTACTGCATTGTGAGATGCGTTTGCAACGTTGCTACGAACTTGTGTAGACATGTCTGGCTCGGTCGGGTCGGTCGATGTTAGTGCATATATAGTATCTATATTAAACTTCGCTGCCGTTAGGGGCCATTCATAAGTCACATCACACGAGTTTTAAATACTTTTTTACTATTACATTACAAATAAAATTTTATATTTGAACCCCCCCCTCTCCCAATACCTTGCCCAGTCTCTGCGTGATGCGTGTAATTGATAGGCCCTTATGAAGTGATATATTGTAATCAATATATGATAAGTAGCGTGTAACGTAATAATTATTTATTAGTATTAATGGATGGTTGTTAATTCCGATTTGCTATTTATCAGTTAATTTGTATAATGAACGTTAAGTTATTTAATATTGTGATTTAACTGTTCGAATATTATTAATACAAACTCTATTACTGTTATATACATGTTATAAATTATATTTCTAATAAATGCCAGTTTTTGTACATTGTAATAAGACAACAGCTTACATCACATTACATCAGTTACATTGTAATTGTATAACATATATGTATATAAAAAATACGATACGAATTTCGATAGCAAGTCCATTCCCTCGTTTGTTACCTAGTAGACTAGCGAAGACCATTACGAAGCAGGTGCCCAGGTAGACGTCGATGGACTTCACGTACGAAATCTTAGGTAGAGCTGCATTAGTGGAGGACATAAGTGTAGTCATCGTGAGGACAGTGGTGACTCCCAGCGACACTCTAGCCGGAGTCGCATTTCGATTCAACCAGAAAGACACCCATGAGATAATCACAATCAAACCAGACGGAATGTAAATCTGTATTAAATAGTATCCCATGGACCGCACGAACTGAATCTCACACGCCAACCTCGAATAATTTCCTGCAATACACATTTCTATTAGCACCACCAACATTGATTGTTTCATCTTAATCTTACAGGTTATCAATTAAACAAACCAAATTTTCTTTCTTATAAAGAAAATTATACGCACTACCTATAGCTGAATAATAAATAAAAACTCATAATTTTCTTAAAAAATAAATTTTTAAATTTACATAGTATTTCTTTCTCTTTTAATAATTTTACTGCACCAGCTCTAGTCCGGTCCTAACTATGTTCATGACTATTTGAACGTAAAATAATTATATCTTTTTTTTTATAATGGCAATAATAGATAATTTTAAAATTAGTATTTCTTTCTCTTTTAATAATTTTACTGCACCAGCTCTAGTCCGGTCATAACTATGTTCATGACTATTTGAACATAAAATAATTATATCTTTTTTTTATAATGGCAATAATAGATAATTTTAAAATTAGTATTTCTTTCTCTTTTAATAATTTTACTGCACCAGCTCTAGTCCGGTCCTAACTATGTTCATGACTATTTGAATATAAAATAGTTATAAGTATTTTTTATAATGGCAATAATAGATAATGTAAAAAGTTTCATTTAAACTAATTTATCATCCATGTTTCTAACCGTTAAACTATGTATAAGAACTGTACTCCTATCATTTAACTAAAATATATACAGTCCAATAGAAATTAAAGCATAAGCTATTTGAATTATCCAACAAGGATTTAATAAATGAAAAACAAAAACTCATGCAAACAATTTATTTAAGCTAAATGCACAAAATTAATTCAAATTTCCTCCGGTTATTATACCCGGATCTAGTGGGTTGAGTCGGTGCGCGTTACCTGTGGTAAGGGAGATCTCCATTGCTCGTTGGCGATGACCCAGCACCTTGAACTGCGGCAGAGATACCTCGCTGGACACGCCCACAGAATTAGGACCTTCGTTCCACTTGTATCGGATGTCCCTCATGGTGTAGCCAACTGTACCATGCAGAGATATGGAACGATAAAACAAGCACCCATTCTAGTGGGTTTTCTTCATAAATAGATCGAATAAACAGCGATTACTAAACCTCTGTTCTAACAAAAGAATGTGTCGTAACAAGTGAAACGAAAATTTGGAAGCATTATTAATACTGTTTCAGATTTTACATCTACCAAATATAAAAGCCTCACAGTTCTGCAGTGTATCCAGTTAAAGGTAAGTAAATTTAATTGTATTACGTCATTTTTGTCACGAAGCACAATTAATAAGTTTAATTAAAATAGGGTTTATTGTAAACATTATAACTAATAAGCCAAATAGTTTATAATAAAAAAATTTACTCACAACTTTCGATTTCGATGTTGCATAATTGACGGTCCATAGGAAAGTACTGCAAGTCCATAGGACAAGAAGCAGTAATGGTCAACCTGCAACAAATACAACCACTTAAATATGTTTTCTTGCTTTTGAAGTGTAGTATATATAACGAGTTTATATATAAATCTTACATATATAAACAAAAACTTTGTTGCTATAATAATGGATTAATTAATTACAATAATAAAAAAAAATAATAATAAATGCCTTTGTGATCTAGCAGTTTAGCACACCGCTTTACTTCCGATAGTCGCGGGTTCGATTCGCACGGCGCAAACATTTGTATTCATGAGTATTATTTTTTACCGTAAGCTATATTTGTAGAGTAGTAGAATATACATATAACTTCAATTACAGTACTATACATTATAGAATAAACCATTGTAATAGAATATAGATAAATCGGTATGTGTGACATAGCAATACAAAATGGCTTATAACTTAGATAAATTTAATATAATATTTACAATTTTATTAATTTAGTACAATTCATACAGCGCTATCTGGTCAAATTCAAATTAAAAAATCATTTATTCATGTAGGACATTTTAGTCGCTTATGAACGTCAAATTTTTACACTATAATTTTAATTTTTTCCCTACCGTCCAGTTCGGTATATAGATCCAATTGTGAAGAACTGGCAAGAAACTCAATTGAATTACTTTTTTTTTAAAACCAGTTTATTTACAATGTATATTTATATAGGTGTCTATGTCTAACATTAAATGAAAATCCAGTGCATGAACAATTATTGCCATGCACGCTCGTCATACAAAGCAAAGCCAGTAGTAATTACTTACTACTGGCTTTGCTCAGTAAATATGATTTAACAGATGTTTTGAATTTATTGAAGTCCCAAGGTAGAGCTTGTGTTCTGAGTACAAAACAGCTGATATAATTACATAGAATTTTTTATATAATTACGTACATTATATAGGAACACCCAGACCGATACAAACTACCCATACTCGTGAATACAAATCATTGTACCGTGTGAAGAATCGAACCCACGACTATCGGAAGTAAAGTGGTGTGCTAAACCTCTAGGCTACGTAGGCTGCCGATTTAGCATCACATACATATTTATATTTCCGTTATTATGTCTTAAATACATAACAACCTCTTTGCTAAACTTTTACCAAAAGTAAAAGTTTAAGGTCACCAGTAACTTGACTGGTGGTCGGTCTATTAGGTCGAAATTCCGCTGGAGACTGTTGTTAATATCTGGTGAACTGACCACAATGTGTTAACTATATCTTGATCCTATCCTCATCCTCTGGTGATACAATAATTGCAATAGTCACGATGTTGTCTATGTATGTTTATGTCAATCTTACCTTATACTACGTGTTATAGATCCAGAATGATGTATACGAATAAATTCGTTGCTTGTAGTCGCAATGTGGAAGTAAGACTGTTTTTCATTAACGAAGAAAGTATCAGGTACCCATATATTTTTAATAAATTCCGAACCAACGGACAATGTTTCGACTCCTGTCCGTTTCTTGTAAGCCAGCCTGGGGTCCGTCCAAAACTGTCTGAAGTAGAAGTCCAGTGTAAAATCCTGAAATATCGTTACACGTGTAAAACATACATAACTCCATTGATGCATAATGGATTCGATGAATATTATCCGGCAAATAACAGCTGTATACTGCTATATGTCATAAATAATAAAACTGACAATTGATGCATATATTATGCTGTTTCTGATTGATAAATATTCATCTTTAATTATGTTAATTGAATGATTGAACTGTGAAATGAATTGATACATTTATATGTAATCGTATGAATAATAATGTATTTATATAATATATTCCAGATGAGAATATAAAATGACAGAAGACCGAAGAGCTGGCAGCTACCTTGGACAAAGAATTAGTCTAGCTATTCAAAGAGGGATCGCTGCCAGTATCTTCGAAAATTGCCTAAAGGGACCCCTTTTAATAATATATTTTAGTCATCGTGTTATATTTTTTAAGCTTTTTAATTTTAGGTTCTTAGTTGTACAATTAGGTTATGTAAATTACCCATTTAATTTCATAATAATCTCAACATTGCTATTAATCAAATGAAAAAAGTTTCAAAACTCTGCGTAATATCATTTCTCTTTCATTTGTTATTATTTTCACTTGATCCAATACTATACGAATGTATTAGAGTATGAGACTAGCTTTAATTATGCGACTTATAATATATTATTCAACATTTATTAAGTATTGGCTTAGCGAAGTGACACAGTCTATATTTCATTTAGTATAAGGTAAAAAGCTGCGTAATCAATATATTAGATGCTCAGTGCTATCAATTTATATTGCAAGTATCTTTAATACTACTCAGTATATTATTAATATTTATAATAAGAAGGGATTTAGTCATTTACGATCACTTCAATATTATATACACTAAAACAGGTAACGAATTCATTTCCTATAAATTCCTATTCGTAATACCTACTATTAGTAATATTAAAACCCAGTAATATGTGGCTCGAAATGAGTTTTAATTACTAAAAAAATATATATTTTTAATTATAACATTTAATAAATATAATATATATAATTCAGGAGTTTATGTATTTGAATGTTAAGAATGTACTGATAATTAGAATTAAATTTAAAATTAATTATATTTCTTAAAATTTAAACTATAACGCTTAATATATTAGACCTATTAATAATTTATTTATTTAATAACATTACATCGATATGGTCATTTTAATAATAAGCAATGTTAACTGCAGAATAAGTTCCAAATCCCAGACATACAATGTTGTATTTGTTATAGATGCAAAATGATTTTGTTAATGCACAAATTAATTAAGCCTTGTATTGAAGTATGATTCTTTAGATATGTTCTCATATTTTATATGAATTTTAACGTATCGTGAAGTAAAATAACATTCAATAAATGTTATTTCAATTGTGAATCTAAATAAAAGCACACCCATTACACATATTAATATATGTATCCACATTTCGTCTTGATACAGACGTGAATACAATAATGATACTGTATGTTATATATATAATTTATTTTTTATATTAGAAACAAAGTACTACCAATGTTGTGTACTTTTATTGTATGTACTATATCTAATATCTACCGTATAGCTAATATCCGGATATTGGTCACGTCCTTCGGTGACTTTGACAGTCCCCTTGATTTGGCTTCCACTAGGGGTCATACACCCTGGTCAGAGATTAATATTCGTTCTTTGAAACCGTTATCAAGGGTATTCGGCGACTTTTTTTTATTCAATCACACAATGGAATTACGGTCCGCCATTATCACGAATTTATTTTTGTTATAACGGTGTGTATTTGTGTTTTCGGAAGGTGAGCAAGTTCGAATTATAAAATAAATAGTTGTTAACTCCTACTAAAATAAAAATAATAAAAGAAACAGTGAAACTAAAGCAAATATTATAATAAAAGTTACCACGTCCGACCAGCACTCATTGGACACAGGTACAAACATTAAATACATTCATAGCAAGACTACTTAAAGTTAGAAAATTTCAAGGCGAGTGGCGAGACGCAAGTTTAGAACGCCATTTTAGAAACAGCAGTATGAAACCCACAGTCACAACAGATACCTACAAAAAAACTTAAAAAGCTGAAAACAAAATAAAAAACAACAATGGAGCAAATTTACGACAGTGTTTTGCTTGGAGGGATGCTTAATGACAAAGTACATTTCAGTATGTCTTTGGTTTGACACACCCGAAGGGCCGCACCACCGCTTGCGATCCAATCGAAGACTAAGTTAGTAAAATACAGCAAGTTTGAATTTGTTGGTGGTGCGACGCCTTCGAAGTGGTCGGCTCCATAACGCCGGCATGCTCGCAGCCTCGTGTCTGGGGCTGCTCGGTCGCCGCGACTGAGCGCGCGGCCGGAGCGACCGAGACAAGCGTGAACTGACAGAGGCGAGTACCATGAGCACTTCGGAGACGGAGCCGATAGAGAGCACAAACATGGTGACCCCCACCTCCACTGGCGGACCTGCAATCAAGCCCAATCGTGAGTCGCGCCCCGCACAGTGAAAACCAAACCAGAGGACGATGACGTGACGCCCGGAGCCCTCGACCGAACGATATCTACGAATGGAACACGCTCGATCGACCGAGGGTAGCTAACCTAACCTAATCTTTTTATAATGACCATCTACTTATAGTAGTTTTGCATTATTATACCATTTTCACTTCAGACAGAGAGCTGATGGAAAGCACGTACATGGTGACTCCCACATCCACTGGCGGTCCTGAAATATCACAGTAGTTACAGTACCTGGTTAATTCCTAATTGTTTCAATTGATTTTGTCTTCTGTGTCTCGTTTAATTTCGTGTGAAAGTGAATTGTGTGTTAGCGAATAGTTCAAAATTAATATTTTTATTTACGTTAAAATGAAATTACCCTGAGTGTTTAGAGAAAGTAAATCTTTCAAGATAAATAGAAATTAATTATGAGTTATATCTCATCGTTTTAATATGTAATATTGGTCTATTTCCTTATTTATCAACAACAAACTTGATTTTAAACCTCCACTGGACGTTGATTCACACGTAGCAATGTTAAATCGCCAATTCGTGGTAACTAGCTTTATGCATGTTCGAATAAACATTTGCCCTTTGGATTTGGAGCGCACATCAAAACGTTCAAACTTAAATGTCTGTATCGTGCTCCGCTTGCTCGTAAAGTTCAATACGAATGTGTACTCTGAGTATACATGTTTACGAAGCGTTCACTTTCATTTTCAAATGTATGTTCTGAGGTTTCAGATATTTGTGCAAATCTTTGATGTTATGTCGGTATCATAAACGATTGAAGAAATTATTTAGCTAAACCTATATTAACTTATAACATAGAGATAATGGAAATAAATATGACACGAATAAAAGAAGTGTGAGCAAAGGTATGGCTGACTTAGATGAATAAGGTAGAAAAAGTACAACGCAAACTTCAAGTAATAATGAAAAAATAAACCAATAATCAGTACATTTGATAGCAATATAAATCAAATGATTAATATTAAATATGTTGAAGAAATGCCTCAAGGAGAAGAAATCTCAAAGCGTTTGTGCACGATACGATTTGACACCTTATTTACCCACCTCATGGGTCCAACTGAACGTTGGGCCAATCTTCCAAAATTAAAAAAAATGGCAATTCAATTTATGAGACCATTATTTTTCTAAATAAGTCCATGGACCCAATGAGACAGTCCAGAACACTACTTAGTAGCGGTATTATTACAGAATATTGATAAAGTAATTCTTATGAATGTACAACATATAACAAATATTAGTATAGGTAAGTTGCTTCTGAGCGGAAATGGAGCTCCGAAAGTAGTTCGAAGCAACGTTGTATATAGGGAGAACATAAGATCTTGAATCACTGCGGTAAACGATCTAGTGCCTAATCGTATCGTGTTTAAAATGCAAAAACAGATATTAAAGTAGAATTATTTTCAGGCATAGTTAGTATGGCCTTTAAAATTAAAAGTAAAAAATTAAGCAAATGTAAAAAGTATTTTGTCTATTAACATTTAAAATACTAACCTCCGTAATTTGGTCTGACTCTCTTGTCATAGCTTACACTCAGAGAATCCAATATGGCGGAAATGTTGACATCACCAAACATTCCTCCTCCGCCCGTTCCCCTGCGAAACAAATTACTGGATGTATTTGATTCCCACTATTGAAATTTTAATTGGCTATTAGATTAATATTTAAATGATTTATTGGAGACCATGTGTGCAGTTGTGTGTTTGAAAAAGGAATATTACATTTAGTCTATACTTATAAGGCAAAAAAAGTGTTCAGGTCGACAATTCCACGAATGTGACTATTTCTATAACCTACGGTCGGTAGAGATTGTGACAAAAATATGATGTATCTACATAAGTGAACAAGTGTCCTATATGATTAAATGATTTTGAATATAGTTTGCCCAAACAAAACAGACATTTCCACAATAATTGCACCTGTGTGAAACCGGGACGGATCGCTAGTCATGAATAAGAGAATGAGTGAAGGTAGGCAGGGAGGTCCCCTACGATACAACGTATGTTGGACGCACGTACCAATTAGGTGGCGTGTTGAAAAAGGGACAAGTTAAAAGCGACGAGCCTGTATGAATACATTGATGAATTAGAGGAAACGAAAGACGCTTCCTCTTCAATGCGTAGAAATGAAGAGAATATTTTAAAGGAAGCATTAAAGATAGCAAGGATGGGAATGTAGTATATGGACATATAATGTTTAGGAATGAAGATCTTAAGGAAGGTGTTTCATATGAATATGGATAGTTATAAGGGCAGAGCAATGTCGAAAAGGAGATGGTTGGACTATGCGAAAGGAAATGGCAAGAAAAGGAGTGAATGAAGATGATTGGGAACAAGGATGAAAGGAAAAGAAAGACATATTACACTGACCACAAATAAAAAGGATAAGGAAGAATCAGATGAGAGAAAGCAGAAGCTATTCATTTTAATCAAAGCATTCGATGTTTTCTTGTCTCTGCTTACTCAAATGGGAGATAAACGCGAAGTGACGATAAATCATTTCAATTAAATTAAACTGTGGGAAAAACCTGACTCTCTACAACTGTTGTATACACAAAAATAGGAAATTCTAGTAATTATAATCTGTAACATAATAAAACAAGAATGTTTACAAAAGTATCATTTGTCAATAATGTTACTGTAGATAGGTCTCATTAATTCGATATGTTTACGACACAATTGATTAGTAAACATAATTACAAGGATATAAACAATAATTATGATGATATCGTATAATCTCATCAATTAATTCTTGCCCATAATATACTAATACATAGTGAAGTAATTTGCTTAATGAATATGTTTACCATAATATATTAGTGTTTAATACTAGTTGTGCACGCGAATTCGTCCGCGTGGAATAGAGGATCAATGACGAATTTCCATACAAACTTTCTACAAACATTGAATATCATATTTATTTATTATTCAACAGCCTAAAAAATAGCTTTTAAGCTACTAGCTTTAAAAATGACGATAATTGCATACAACCCTTCATGTTCCCTTTCAAACCCTTACAACCCTTTTTTCCAAATTACAGCTCGAAAATGAATTTTGTGCCTTTCATACAAACGACGCGGTCACGTGATAGAATTATGTTTTTAAAGGAAATTTAGTTATATGTATAAATATTTTCAATAACGTCATAATATCTATACGTATCGTTTTTGACATCGCCACAAAAGCAATTCATAAAGTGATTTCTTACCAGAACACTCCACAAATAGAGTTCATTTACTGAAATGCATACTTTTTATCTCTTAGATTTATTGCTTCCAGGTAGTTGTCTACTAGAGTTAGCCAGACACACTTGCAATATTCTCATTTTAAAACATTTGGTTCCGTAGAAATATTTATCTTTATCGTGGTCGTGGTGTCGAAATTTGACCATAATTTATTTAAATTACAAGTTTGTATACTATCAAGTTTCTATTGTCATTAACTATAGACAAACAATTAACATATTCCCAATTTGACCACAGACTTTAAAAATAAGCAAAAGTATATATATGTCAAGTAAATGATAATATGTATAATGTTTTTATTTATTTACTTAATTATTATTACGTTCTTCAATACATATTTTTTATATAAACTGTGATGCACAATGTTGCTTTCCCGCTGTTTTACTCTGAAATCAGCGCGCTGCCCACAGTCTGGCACCGCGCGGCAGTGAGCTCGAAATTTGATAAATTGAAGTAGCAAATAGTGCGGTTATGGAAACTACATATATAACTTCACTATATGTGTATATACTGTGTTTTATGAGCTGCTTTATATATTGAAAACCAGTTAAATTAGATCCACTTTACGAGCAAGTGTGTTTAAAAAATATTAATTATTATTTTTCTAAATACGAAATTTTATATACGATGTCGTTTCGTTTGGGAAATATAGAAATGTAATAACAAAGTTACAAAACTTACTATTATTCGCTAGGACTAATAGAATCCAAAACTATAGAATGTTGGCTATTTGTCTGCAATAGCCAACATTCATGTGTGCGGCGTTCACTAATGTGTTAATATGGTTCTTTAAAATGTACTGTTTCTGTTCCAAACGATTTACAAACAATGTTTATTTGTATTCGAAGTCGCAGGCTCAATTAGTGATAAAACGAACTCGAATAGTCGTTTAACATTAAACAAATTGTACCAGCAAATACAACTAGGCAAAACGGTTCTGATGTCTTACAATTAAATTCTTAAATGTAAACCAATTTACAGTACAAAGGAGGAAAACTAAAATCTCTCATAAATAAACTTGCAATTAATATTGAACTGTTTCTCATTTCAATTACAGGTATTGAATTTCTGTTTAGTCTCTTTGAAGACAAAACAAGTTAATTGTTTGTATTACCTCCAATTCACTACCGACGTACCTTAGATTCGTATGCCAAAATTAAGAAAGAGATATTTCTAAGTGCAGCGAACTACTTGACAAGTTTTTATACTATTTTTAAATTTTATAATAATATTCTTTGACATATTATTTTTGTTGATTTTCTATTATATATCGCTTTCATACTAGTCGCAATTTTTAATTTAATCTCCGTATTTTCCTCATTAAAACCCTCAGCACCTCTCACTAATCAGACACATTGGGAGGTATCCAATTCACTAATTGAACACTATTTATTTAAGTATATTTCCCTATTTTTTTTAACCATAATATTACCAATGAGATAATATTACTCGAAAATAGCAAGCTTTATGCAAGATGCAGAAATTTTAAATCTATCTAGTATTTGTGGATTTACGACAAAATTATTCTTGTTGAAAACTGGGTGATCACATTTTTACAAAATATCAATTTTAACACTACAGGTGATTTTGCACAGATTAACTTTAGGTTTCATTCACCAGTATGTTTCCCTATTATTTTTAACTATAATATTGCGTGGGAGGGAGTATAAAATTACTCGGAAATAGCAAACTTTATGCAAGAAACCGAAATTTTAAATCAATTCATCAATCATATAAATCAATTTGTGAATTTAATTTTTTTAAAACAATAATTATAATAAAATAAATAATAATTATATAGTACAAGTCCCTATACTTGTACTATATAATTATTATTTATTTTATGATAATTATTTAGTATATATAAAAACGTATATATTATTTACAATACTCATACTAGTACTAGTATATAGATGCGAAAGTTTGTCTGTTTGTCAAATTATATGAAAGATAGAATGTAAAACGTATATAGGCACAGGCAGTCTTTTTTCTCAAAAAAAGCAAGAAAGTCACGAGAAAGACATAGTTTATAAATATATAAAAGATATAACGTTCTGTCTGCAACGGAACCAAAGTACGAAGCACCGCGGCGGGGAAGTCGCACAGAGATGAATCTCTTTACAAATCGAGACGTGGTTAAAAGTACCGACTTATAAATGGGATCCTTGACCCAACAAGCGACGAGAGTCTCTTAAGATGATCAACACTCCGTTCTATTAGATAGTACGCTATTACTGCTACTGGAACATTATTAATTTTATTTTAACTTTTCTCTACTTACAGTCTTTGTAGGTATCGGTATATTAAATCATATGTTTTCCTGCCGCCAAGGAGATTTATAAGATTTTATACTATTCTAACATCTAGTAATAGTTGACCTATTGAGCACAGATGGCCTTTACAGCTTCACCGAACAATAGAGAGCGTGAGCAGATAATAGGTGTGTGGATAATTCACACAGCGTCATCTAGTTCTAAGCTAAGTAGAGCTTGTGTTATGGATACTAAACAACTGAGAACTGAACTGTAAATACTTAGGTGTTTTTTTTTGGTAAATACATAATATTAAAAAACACCCAGACCGATACAAAAAATCATATTTTCGAATACAAATACTTCGATATTTTTTTGTAAATACATACATAGAACAGATCCAGACCGCTATAAATAATCATACTTATGAATACAAAATGTACAGTGCGAGGAATCGAACCCGCGATCTTCGGTAGTTAGGCAGTGTGCTACTGCATGACCACCGAGGTATTTCAAACCTGCAAAAGGCATATAGAGCGGCTATTAGTCAACTCCTGCCTGACGTATACGACTTTAGTTTGTGAACGCTAAAGGTTCTCGAACCGTACTCAGTCGTTTCGATCGCCGTATAAATTGGACGGGGAATCGATCGGAAGGGTGTAGACTATGCTACGGTTGACATATACCCGACAGAGAAATTACAGAGTACAAGTGTGTTATTTTACACTTCCGGAATAGCTACTATCCATATATATAGACAAGAGTTGCTTACAATTTTTGTGATTTTAGATCATAATAAAAATAACCAAAAAGTTTTTATGTAATTGCACTGGTCCTCTACCTCTGGTAATATATACATATAAATAAAATTGGAGTGTCTGTTTGTAATATTGAAATAATCGTTTACTACATGTATATGAATATAAATACGGTACATATACCAAAATATTTTTTTTTAAATTTTTGTCTGTATGTATGTTTGTTCCGGCTAATTTCTGAAATGGCTGGACCAATTTAGCCGGGGCTTTTTTTGGCAGGTCGCTGATGTAATAAGAAGTAGGCTTAGGCTGCTTTAATTTTAGAAAAACCTTTTTTCTTT